AGGATAGAGGCCTACCATGGTGGTAACGGGTGACGGAGAATTAGGGTTCGATTTCGGATAGGGAGCCTGAGGGATGGCTACCACATCCAAGGAAGGTAGCAGGCGCGTAAATTACCCAATCCTGACATAGGGAGGTAGTGACAATAAATAACAATACTGGGCTCTTTCGAGTCCGGTAATTGGAATGAGAACAGTCGTAAACTCCTTGAACGAGGATCCATTGGAGGGCAAGTCTGGTGCCAGTAGCCACAGTAATTCCAGCTCCATCGCAGTTAAAACGCTCGTAGTTGGATTTTGGGTGGGAGGGGTTGGTCCGCTCTTGCGGGTGGTAGTTGATGTACCTGCTTTGATTTGTCGCTGTCCGGGTTGACGGCCCCCTTCTGTTCTGGTCGAGGGGTCGGTCCTGTCGGTACGGCACCATATTGTAGAACTCAAGGCAAACGAATATCTTGGCCCTCGCAACGATGAAGAATGCAGCGAAATGCGATACTGAATGTGAATTGCAGAAATCCGTGAGCCATCGATACCTTGAACGTACGTGGCGCCCAAGGCTTCTGCCGAGGGCACGCCCGCCTGAGCATCGTTGGATTCCTCACGACCTCAGAACCTTCCGTTTCGGAGAGTGGTGGGGTCCGTGGTCGTGGCTTCCCTTGCTTCCCACTTGGAGAGCGTCGATAGCCTAAAGTGAAAGGGAATTGGAAAGCATTCCGAGCGGGCCTGTGGGGGCCGCAGCCCAGAGTGGTGCGTTTCGCTCCGCCTTGTTGTTGCCCTCCAGCACCCGTTTGTGGGTGGTGGTCTTCGTTTCCCTGAAAACGGTACGTAAGGTTGTCCCTCCGGTTTGTGTGGTCGCCGCCTTCCATTCGCTCCCATCAGCTTGAGGTGGGCTTGTGGTTGGGGGTGTCGGCCTCGAGCTGTGGAGGTACGTCGGGCCTTGCCTTTTGATCTCAGGTCGGGCGGGAGCACCCGCCCAATTTAAGCATATAACTAGCGGAGGAAGAGAAACCAACGAGGATTCCCTTGGTAGCGGCGAGCGAATTAGGAATAGCCCAGACTGAAAATCCGGGGGCTGTGCTGCTCCCTGAATTGTAGTCTTGAGAGGCAACCTCTGCAGCGGGCCGTGTGCAGGTTCCTTGGAAGGGGACGCCGAAGAGGGTGACAGCCTCGTCGACCGCCGGAACCTGCTGCGCAACGAGGTGTTGTCCAAGAGTCGGGTTGCTTGGGAATGCAGCCCCAATTGGGTGCAAGGCTAAATATGTGTGAGGGACCGATAGCAAAGAAGTACCGCGAGGGAAGGATGAAAAGAACTTTGAAAACAGAGTTAAAGAGTGCTTGAAATTGCTGAGCGAGAAACGGATGGAGGGGAAGTCGTGCGCTCCCGTCTGSGCAGGGGTGGACGGCGMYTGTCTTGTCGCTCCCCCTTGTTGGACGTGGGGYGCCTGCCAGCATGGGCTGCTGTGACCGGCATTGTGGTGGGGAGCGATTGAAATCCGCCACGTGTGGCCGTCACGGCAGTCGAGGACCTTGAGCACACGCCTCTTTCGGCCGGCCCTTAGGGTTCCTGCGTGTTYGGGATGCTGGTGAAATTCCTYTATCCTGCCCGTCTTGAAACACGGACCGAGGAGTTCAACGTGCATGCGAGCCGGTGGGTGATTAGCCCACGAGGCGGAAGAAACCTGAGTGGCGGGAACCACGATCTGCTGTGAGAGGTTTGAGTGTGAGCATGCCCGTTGGGACACGAAAGATGGTGAACTATGCCTGAGCAG